AGAATCTTATGGAAGTGAATGTTGAAAACTAAAAGTAAATTAATTAATTGAAAGAAAAAGTTTCCTTCTGGGCCCAGCTTATTGCCCATTTGTAGTATCTGTCCAACCTATGCATATATTTAGGGATGAACTCTGTAGGTTTCCCATACTACAGTTATGTGTGTGTGTGTGTGTGTGTGTGTGTGTGTGTGTGTGTGTGTGTGTGTGTGTGTGTGTGTGTGTGTGTGTGTGTGTACAGTGACCTAGATGAAGTATACATCATCCTTATCATCCTGTCTGCTACTCAAATTGTTCCAAAGCAGGCTTTCTGTGAGCTCACAAGAGATGAGATTATATTCCAATACTTTTACTCAGTTACAAAAAACAGTCATTTTATACACTTCTGCAATAGGCCACAGAATGCTGAATAACGGCAGGATACTGATCTGTCCCAAGATCATTTCTACCAATTAAACAATAAAAATAATAGCCAGTAGTTATATATCACTTTTTTGGGGGAGGGGGCTAGGCAATGGGGTTAAATGACTTGCCCAAGGTCACACAGCTAGTAAGTGTTAAGTGTCTGAGGCTGGATTTGAACTCAGGTCCTCCTGACTCCAGGGCCTGTGCTCTATCCACTGTGCCATCTACTGCCCCCTATATGTCACTTTAAGGTTTCCAAAATGCTTAATACATCTTATCACATTGGGTCCTCATGACAACCCTAGGAGCCTGGACTTATTAAAAAAAATAATTAAGGTGCCATTATTATGTCTATTTTACAGATGAGGGAATTGAGGCTGACAGATTAAGTGACTTGCCCATGGTCATACACCTACTAAGATCTCAGGTAGGACTGGAATCTGAATCATCCTGACTCCAAGTACAACATTCTATCTATCTGCTATGCCTCCTACCTACCTGAACAAGATGAGAATTGAGTAATTACAATATTGTATATTATGTTATATAAGAATAACAGCTGACATTCACATATCATGGTAAAGTTTACAAAGCTGCTTACAAACATAACTTAATTTGATCCTTAAAGCAACCCTGTAGAGTAGGTTTTATAAGTGTCAACCTCATTTTACAGATGAGAAAACTGAAGTTTGGAAAAGGTAAGGTGACTTTCCAGGGTCACACAGTGAATATGTATGGGAGAAAGGATTTGAACCCATTTCTCTCCTAACTCCAAAGTCTGTCCATTGTGCTATACAGATGGGACATGTGGAGTTTGAGGGGCTGGCAGGATGTTCAAGTGGAGACGTCCAGAGGCACAAGCTTCTAGAAACATGGGAGTGTAGATCGAGGAAGATTTGATACTTAAAAATAGTCTTGAAAGCCAATGGAGGACAGAGTATTCAAAAAGAGGGGGTGGTAAATCACATCTGCAGCAGCTGAAAAAGTCATCAGATCCAGCAAGTAAGAAATCATTGGCAGTCTTTGGGAAGGCAGTTTTCAGAGTGTTAGAGTAAGATTCCAGATTGCAACGAGACGAAGAGTGAAGGGGGCGGTCAGGAAGTGGAGGACACAAGCTAGACCACTCTTTCTAGTTTAGTAGTGAAAGAAAGGGAGGGGTGATTAGATCGGGTCAAAGCTTGAAAGGACAGTAGGGTAAAGGGAAAGATTTTATGTTGTTTTTCAAAGAAATGGTCATGTTTGTAGATAGTGGAGAAAGAGCCAACCAATAGGAAATTAATGAAAATAAAGAGGTGGAGAAGGGCTGATGAACAAACCATCTGCTGAGATCCCACCACCAGGCACCAGAGGGTGGAGCGGATCATCTGAGATCCCGAACCCTTACCGTCAATAGCCCCAGCTGGACACCCATATGACCAGATCCCACCAGGCCAGCATGAGCACTGACATCTTCCTTGCAATGGTACCCTAAAGACCCCCTGGGTCCTTTGCAACCTTCCAGTGACTGAACTCTCCTTTATGTGTGGTCTCCAACAATTAAAATGGGAGCTCTCTGAGAGCAGGCACATAAAGCTAGGTAGTAAAGAGGACAGAGCACTGGGCTTGGAATCAGGAAGATTTCTCTTCATGAGTTCAAATCCGGCCTCAGACACTTACTAGTTCTGTGCCTCTGGGCAAGTCACTTAACCCTGTTTGCCTCAGTTTTCTCATCTATAAGATGAGCTCGAGAAGGAAACAGTAAACCATTCCAGTATCTTTCCCAAGAAAACTCCAAAAGGGGTCACAAAGAGTAAGACATGACTGAAAAATAACTGAACAACTGATTATGTTACATATCACAGGATATTACTGTGCTTTGAGAAACAACAAATATGAGAAATTCAGAGAAATGCTGGCATTTTTGTATTAAGTGTTGCAAAGTAAAGAACATGGAACCAAGAGAATTATGCATACAATGACTCCAACAACATACATTATAACAACACTAAAGCGCAGTTGATCTCTATCTTGGTCCTGAAGAACTGATAATGAAACCTATCGGTCTCCTCTCAGTAGAAAGGAGGAGGACCATGGATGTATAATGAGATAAATACTGTCAGATATAGTCACTGTGTTGGTTTTCCTTAATGTTTTTCTTTCTAACAAAGAAGGGTTCAGAAGGGAGGTATAAAGGAAAATGACTGAAAAAGAGGGCAAAGGAATAGGAACAGCTCCCAAAGGAAAGGGGAGAGGATTCAATTCAATTCAACAAGGATTTATTTAGCTCTCACTATGTGCAAGCCATTGTCCCAGGCAAAGGGGATTCAATGATAGAAATCAAATAACCCTTCCCTCAAAGAGCTTATATTCTAATTAAGGCAGTATGACATATACAAGGATAAATAGCACAGTGCCTGACAAATGGCAAGCACTTAATAAATATTGGTTGATAAATTCAAAGTGGAAAGGAGCATTAAAATGTGGGTGGGGGGAGAAGGACGGGGAGAGGGTCAGGAACATCGTACATCTATCTGTTACTATTTCTTCCTCCATTTCCATGAGGTGAGAGATCATGTCTTATTCAGTCTTTGTCTCATCCTCCAGCAAGTGCTCTGCACTAATAAGTTTGTTTAATTTAATAAGGCATTTAATAAGTTTGTTGATGCTGGTGAGGAGCCCAAATTGATACTTAACAAATAAATATTTGTGCATGATATTGTGCTAGGCACTATAAGTGGACACAAAAGTAGAAAACATGTTACAGTTGAAGGAACACTGGCTATGGGTTCCAAAGACTTGGGTTCAAATCTTACCTCTAAAACCTATCTGTGTTAGAGATCACAGGATCTTAGACTGTGAAGGGGACCTGGAGACCATCATAAGCCTACTCTTTCATTTTACAAATGAAGAAATTGAGGCTGAGAAAGATTAAATGACTTGCTCAAAAATACACAGCTATTTAGGGTCTGAGGCAGGATGTGAAACCAGGTTTTTCTGAGTCCAAATCCAGGACTCTGTTCACCACTCCATGGTCTTCTGGAATCATGATTGGTCATTTCGAATCAACAAACATTTATTAAATACTTACTATGTACCAAACCTTCTGCTATGCACTGGAGATAACAAAGACAAAAGCAAGACACTCCCTGTCCTCAGGGAGCGTAGCTTCTATCAGGGGAAACAACATAGGAATGGACTTGCACATCTCCATCTACACTCTCTCACATGGTCCACTTCATGATCAAGCTCGCATTTGTTGTTTGGCAAAGGTGAAATTTGTGTCTACCAAAGAGAATGGAACTAACTGCCCACGATAGTACTAGATATGTGATTTTGGCAGTGACATACTGGCAAATGTTTAACAACCGGCTCTCCAAGGGAAAAATGTACGCCCAATGCCTTCTTAAATTTCATCTTTATTATTAACATCTTCTCCACTCTCTTAAATCTAGACAATCAACAAAACAATAAATCGTGATTTGCCCCATTTACAGATTTCTGAGGTGTAAATGCTCATGCTGAAATTTTAACAATCAGCTCTCAAGTGCCAGTACATGCTGGCTACAGACCACCATTGAATTTTGGCATTATTTAACAGTTACTCCATTAACTAAGCTAACCACTACTCTGGGCTTAGAAAATAATACAGCTCCTACACATAAGAGTACTTCAATGACCTACTTATTACAATGAGCCCATACACTCAGACCTGCCTTTAGTAGGATCTTGGAGATGCCCTGAGAGACCACATCAATGGGGCACTGGCTGCCTACCCATTCGGCCCACCCAAGTGACACAGAATCAATTGCTACTTTTAGCCAAACTCTGACTGGTCCTCTTCAAACTCAAAACATTACATGATCAACAGCATCATACTAGCAGAGCCCCAGGCTGCCAGATCACACTTATACCAGACCTCTTACACTCATCCCAAGAATTCAGACAAGAAGGGGCAGCTAGGTGGCGCAGTGGATAGAGCACCGGCCCTGAAGTCAGGAGGACCTGAGCTCAAATCTGGCCTCAGACCCAACACTTGACATGTACTAGCTGTGTGACCTTGGGCAAGTCACTTAACCCCAACTGCCTCACTTAAAAAAAAAAAAAAAAGAATTCAGACAAGAACCTAAGGATGCAGATGTCTGTGCCTTGTGTACAACTCAAGGCCACACAGGAGGCAAGCCGATCCAGACTGTTCCTTGGCAAAGCAATCAACAAGCACTTATTAAGCACCAACTGTGTGCTAGGTACTATTCTTGGAGCCAGAGATTCAAGAATAAAAATGAAATAGTTCTTGCCTTCAAGAAGCTTACACTGAAGCTTACATTCTATGTAGGAAAAACAACATATACAAGATGCCACCTAGTCTAACTTGTACCCAGCTGGAAGACTAAACCAGTAACAGCCAAGTTCCTAAACCTTGCTTCTTTCCTAGGCCAAGGATCCTCTTTTCATCTTCTCAATGAGTCACTCTGTGAGCCCCTCCCCAACCACTACTGCCACATCTGCTGAAATGTTATCAGTACATTAGCATAGATAGAATCTCAACATTTCCCACTAAGCAACAGTCAAGGGATGAGAAACGAGGCTGAGAGGAGAAAAGTTGGACAGCTCATACTCACCACATCCTGGGATGCATACTGGGGGTCCTCTGGGTTGACTGACCAGTAGCAGTAATCAAAGCCAAAGGCCACAACTTTCTCCCTTGAGCCTCCAGGGCCATCTGGCCGGCTGTCCACCTATAGACAATACAAGGACGTAGCGGGGAGTTATCACAGTTCCTGCTACTAGTCAACATGACCCCTTGTTATGGCCAAGGAGCCCTGAACTGACCATGGCCATGTTTATGACAGAACTGATTCCCTCCCACCTCATTTGTCAAGTACAACTACTTATCTGCCTCCACCCCAACTCTGGGGCCAATTTGCCCACTTTCCTTCCAGGAAAAGAAAGAGTTGGAAGGACCCCCATCCTGAACACCTACACATTCAATTTTTCCCAATAAGATGGGCTGCAGATCTCTGAGAGTGAGTCGGCTGTCCTGCTACAGGGGGCTCTCCACTATGCAATGACTTCATCATGCTCTTTTTAAGGTTCCAAGGGAGATTCTTCCAACCCAAGTAAATTAAAAACTGGGATTAGAAGCAAGAATCAGAACCAATCCACCCACCCAGAAGGTAAACTACAGCCTGTGCTTCTGGAGTCCTGGGACTCACTCAACTCTCCAAACCTGCCCCAGTTCAGACCCAATCTCCTAGGAGAGGGAAATGACTGAACTGGCCTCCATTAGGAACTGGGGAGTGAGATTTTATTCATAGCAGATCATTAATCATTAAGTATTTGTTAAGCACCTATTGTATACCAGGCATTGATACTAAAGATACAAAGACAAAAATTAAGCATCCAAGTGGTACATAGGATAGAACAGGGGGCTTGGAATTAGGAAGACCTGAATCTGAATCCTACCTCAAACATTTATTAGTTGCATGAGGGTTAGATTCAGTGGTCTCTATCTAAGGTGTCTTCCAACCCTAAATCTACGATCCTATTACAAAGAGTCACTGCCCTCAAGTAACTTAGGTTGAGGCTGCAGGCAAACAGTTTGTCTCTGGCACCAGGCACTATGTACTTACAAGCAATTAGACATCAATTTCGAATAATGGAGTCTATAGGAATAAAATCTGTCTGGCCTCAGGCAAGCACCCAGCCAGGGAGGTGGTTAAAGGGATAAGGTTCTGATCTTGGCCAAGATTCGTCCTTAGGAACCAAAAATATGAGCTCTCTGAACAAAACAGCTGAAGTAATTAGGCAACTCGAGCTATAAACAAAGACACAGCAGGGAATAAAGGGTGACTCTGTCCCATGGAGCTCCCCTCAAGAGTCTGGCAAGCTCACAGGCCATTTATCTCTTAGCAGAGGAACGCCATGCCAATAGGAAAAGGATCCCATCACAGGCTTAACTAGGGAGCCAATGCATCTGTGGGGCTCATAAGCTGGTAATGATGGCAATCTGCTCCCTTGGCCTCCAGGGATAGAGTACCACTTGAGGGACAGATGCCCAGGATATCCAGTCACAAGACCAATTTCAAATATTGCCTATCTGTGCTTTCTGGGACTCTTACCCTCCCCATTCCATACCACCCTCTCTTACCCTCTCCCTTCCACCCACCCCCGAAGAATCTAAGTGAAAAAAGTTGGGGAAGGGGAGAAAGGAAACCAGCCAAAGGGAAGGGAAGGAAGTATCCTTATGCTTGTCCCCACTAACTCAAAACTGAGCCAGAGCCTGGGAGGAAGATGCACCAGACTCAGGCTAATAACTCTCTTCTGGGTCCTGAAGACCCCCATACTAGTGCTCTCAAATAAAGGGATAACAATTCAGATATCCCATCCCTTCCCCGAGACCATCCACAGAAATGGATTGTAAGATTGTGACATGAGGATCAATATCAATTACTAAGCTGAAATCCCGATCCTGGTCAAATGATTAACACAGAAACTGGTCCCTTGGGAGCGAAGCAGGGGTGGAGGGGAGGTGGGATATCCTTCATATTTATCTTCCAGGGAGCTGCAGTCCACATTTTCAAAACAGCTACCTCTTTTGAGGAACTTGTGCCTGTGAGAGCATATCCCCAGTCTGTCCTTCCTGTTTCATTTTTATATTTGCTGTATTGCTGGCTCAAGGTCTTCTCCCTCTTCCCCAATACACCAAGCCACTGGACCAACTCCAACCCTCCCAGACGTCCCCAGAACACACACTCCCTCAGCTCAAAAGCTCCTGAAACAACACGAATTTTACCACGTTTTTACCAACACGACACAAATTTCACCACAATTAGAAAAAAAGAACTAGGAAAAAAATCCTAATCTTACCTTTAAATTCTTTATTTTGGCCACTCTGTCATCAATTTCTATAATGATTCTTCCCCCATTTGCAATCTCTCTGGAAAGAAGATAACAAAATTACGTGAGGCCAAAGTGTTAGTGATTTTTCTCAAGTGCAGGGAAGCCAGACAAACCCCTGGGTGCTCCTCTCCAAGTCTCCAAGGTTAGCTGGACACAAGTGATTCTCTGAGAAGCTATGACCCACCCAGACCACCCACAAGAATGGACTGCCACTAGACTCCTACCAACTGCAAGATTGTTGCATCAAGACCAAGTCAAAAGGAATGGCAAGGAAACATAGGATGATCATAAATTAAATGCTCAAGGAGGCCTTTGAGCCATCTAGTCCAGCCCTCTCATTTTACAGGTGAGGAAACTGAGGCCAAAGGAAGTTAAGTGACTTGCCCAAGTCACACTGCTAGTAAACAGAATCTGAACCGGGATCCTTGGACTCCATTATATCATGTTGCCTCCCTATTGGCTAGCTAACAGGCTATCACAGTAATTCACAGTGATCTAAGGCCACAGTCACTACTGGCAGCAAAAAGGTTACCTCTCCACCAGGACAGCTAAGGACATACTTTCCAACTCCATCTCCTTGTGCCTACTCAAGCTAGAGATAAAACCAAGATACTCAGAATCTGTCCTGTTTTTTTTTTAAGATCTTGGCTGATGCATTAACGAAAGGATAACGCTTAGTCTTGCTCCCAAAATCTGCCTCAAGGTGACTGTATTCAGCTGACCCAAGCATATATATCACTGGCTGCAAACTTGGAGCTCAGTTTAGTTGCTGTTCAGTCGTTTTAGTCACGTCTGACTCTTGGTGACCCCACTTGGGGTTTTCTTGGCAAAGGTACTGGAGTGGTTTGTCATTTTCTTCTCCAGCTCATTTTACAAATGAGGAAACTGAGGCATACACAGGGTGAAGTGACTTGCCCAGGGTTACACAGGAGGTATCTCAAGTCTTCTTGATTGCAGGCCCGGTGCTCTACCCACTGCACCACCTAGTTGCCCAAGTGAAGCTTGGTTTGGTAGAATCTACATGAAAAGAGTGCAGGACCTGAAGTCAGGAAGACTCATCTTCCTGAGTTCAAATCCAGTCTCAGGCACTTACTAGCTGTGTGACCCTGGGCAAGTCACTTTACCTTGTTTTGCCTCAGTTTCCTCATCTGTAAAATGAGCTGGAGAAGAAAACAGCAAACCACTCCAGTATCTCTGCCAAGAAAATCCCCAATGGGATCATGAAGAATCAGACACAACTGAAATGACTAAACAATAACAATAATAGAATCCAAGGACTGGATTCTACTTTTTGCCATATGTACACTTGGAACTAGAGTGAAAGTGGAGGAAATCTAAGATTTTACATCCTACGCCTTACTTGCATGATCTTACTGAAGTGGCTAGAGTAGACTCTCCCTTGGTAAAGATTGCAACTGACCCATTCCATCTCTTCCTGTGCAATTCTTATCCGTATCTTCCCACAGATCCCTTGCAGACAATCTACCCAATGTACTGTAGGCCTTTCTTTTGGGTCCTTTTTACATTTCATGGATACTAGTGAAACAAGCAGGATGTCCAGGTATTATTGCCCTCCTGCCATATAAGCAACCTATTTCCTTTTCTAAAAATATACTTCCTAGATAACATCCTTACAATACTACTTTTGTGTATAAGTCATGCTTGGAAATGTGTTACAATCTACTTCCACCCACTGTGTGTCATTTCAATGCCCTTTGGGGTCACCTACAACTTTGAGTCTTCAGACATCCTCATGGATAAATAATCTAACACAAAATATTATTGGGAAAATGTGTTAAAAAAAAAAAAAAGACAGGTTTGTGTGTCAGAGAGCCCAATATCCCCAATGAAGTGCCACGCAATGGGTGGTGCAGTAGATAGGACTCTGGGTCTGGAGTCAGGAAGACCTAAGTTCAAAGCCAGCCTCACACACCTACTGGCTATGTGATTCTGGGCAAGTCACATGACCTGTCTGCCTCAGTTTCCTCATCTGTAAAATGGGGGAAATAATAGCACCTACCTCCCAGGGTTGTTGTGAGGATCAAATGAGATAATATTTGTAAAGCACTTAGCACGGTGCCTGGCATGTAGCAGGCCCTTAATAAATGTTTTCTTTCTTTCTTTCTTCCTTCATTCCTTCCTTCCTTCCGTGCAAATTATCCCAGACCTCGAATGAAGACTGCTATACTAGACTTTAGAGAAATTAGGCTGTGAAGAGTTATAAGTTTTACTGCAAGTCAAAACAGAACTCTGGATCTGGTTGTGTCTACCTTCAATCTCTACTGTCTGACCCTAAGGAGGCTGGGGAGAATAAAAGGAAATCTTTTGCCAGATGGGAGATTTTAACCTATGTAAGGCTGGAATAAAGACTTGGAGTATAATTTCAGTAATGACATTTGCAAGTCCCCTAGAGCTTCCTGATGGCCTTCCCTATTTATCTCACACTAAGGGTTTCCTCATGACCACATGACCACAGGATCATCCTCATCTGATCAGAACCCGAGACTCCTTTAGCATTCACACCAGCAGCTGATGTCCAACAGCAGCTTCTCAGCTTAAAAAAAAATTCACTAACTAAATAAACCCGAGACCTACTCCCACTGGGAATCATACCAACAGACACATTCCAGTCTCTCTAAAACTGAGCAGCAAAATAGATGTTAATCCTAAATCTGGGTAAAATTGGAAGACTCCAAGAGGGCAATATACTTGCACCCTGCTGTCCATACCCAGGGAACACCATGTTAACCCACTGACTACCCTTGGAATACAAGCAGTTCTGAACTCAGTATGTTCAAAACCAAATTCATTGTCTTTCCTCCCCAAACCTGCCCCTCTTAAAAACTTCCCCATTTCTTCAGAAGGCACTACCATTTTCTAATAGTAGTAGTGGTGGTGGTGGTGGTGGTAGTAGTAGTGGTAGTAGGAGTAGTAGTAGTAGTAGTAGTAGTAGTAATAGTAGTAGTAGTGGTGGTGGTAGTAGAGGT